AGGTAAGATTCCTAAAATAAACTGATTCATCCAACAATTTTAGCATGTGCTCCTTCTGACAATTCTTCTTCTTTGAGATACACCTGTTTTAAAAATAGGCTTTACTAATTTTAGATATTGGCAGAAACGTTACAATTGTAAACCTGATGCTCCCCAAAACATACACCACTGTACATGTATATTATTTAAAGCTATTTCATATCCATTTTTCAGCAGTGTGTAATATATACTATAATTATGTCTGGAAATAAAACATTTCAATTGTAGAAAAAATGCAGAAATACCCTGAGTTATTAAGAACAGAAATGCATGAAGCTACTAAGGTATTAAGGTACTTAATTATTACTCATTCTCATCAGCTATGGAGAACATGAATTTCTGTTAATCATTAATGCTGCTTTATGCTCTACTGCATCACAAAAGCTTTTGGATTTTAAATCTCTTACCTTTTTTCTGTGAATTTCTGAACATGAATATGACTTGCAGTTTAATGGTATTCACTGATAGTCACTTTCTGGCTTAAGTGATTATTTTACTTTTACATTACTAAGTGGATGCTTTTAACCTCTCATGGCCATGTATGCTAAATAAGAAATAGTGCATTAAAGCAGACTACGGCTCAAGTAAGAAAGAAACAGCAAGGTATCTGGCTTCAAAATAGAACTAAGAAAAAGAAGCTCAGACAGACAAGCTGCATAAAGAGTAAAATACAAAATCAGGTATAGCTTACTTTAAATGATGTCATTAAAAAAAATCACTCCCTAGCTCCACTGAAAGACTATTATTTTTACAACATAAAACATGCAGTAAAAAAATCAGTTTCACTAACTTGCTTCTGTTTGAACTAAGGAGCAAAAAGCCTATATTGTACAATGATTTACTTGAAGTAACCGTTTGCCTCCATTTCTGCAGGTCAGATATAATCTATCAATAACTCTAGTGATATACTAGTAAAGTATAGTGAACAGTCATCAATTTGCTTGTTTTTCAGTCCTAACTGTCCGCTTCAGCTTGTGTCCAATTATCATAATTATTATTTATTAAATTGATATTTCACCCAACACCAGTGACTCTGGATGGTTTATAAATTCTTAAAAACATTTAAAAACAATCAACAGAGCAAAAACAAAGAAAAATATGGGAGGAAAATAAACAAGAGGGGAACAGAATGGAAGAAAGGGGCATCCTCCCCAAATGTCTACGCAAAGACCTAGTTCTTTAAGGCCCTTTGAAATAGCAGATGGGTGGGACTGCTTGAATTTTGGAAGAGGACCTCATTCCAAAGGGCAGTCACTGTAACCAAGAGGCAAGCTTCTGAGAACCAGATATCATTCAATTAATGGAACGTGGCGCATGCTAACCTACCAGATTTAAGGCCAGGCGGATACTGCTTAAACAGGTGGTTGCTCAAATCAGCCCCCATGACATGTGGGGCTTTATAAGTAGCAACCAACACCTTGAATCACACCCCGAAGCAAACTGGCAACCAGTGCATCTCGAAAAGCAGAAGTGTTACAGGGATATACATTACTGCCTGCCCCAGCTGAAGCTTTGGGATCATCCTCACGTAGAACATAATACACAATAATCAATGTGAAGACCCCAGTCTAGAAAAGGGTACAACTGGTGCACCCGATAAAATCAAAGGCTTTCCTGGCTACAGCTGACAGCATGCTAATTAAGCGACCTGCTCATCAAGCAGGTGCTTCGAGTCCAGGAAGACCTCCAAATTGTGCATCTCTTTTGANCTCCATTTGCATGACCAGCAGATACAAGTGCACACTGCTAGCACAAATGGAGCTCCATGTGCAAGCATACTTGCTGACCACTCAAGCAAAACCATTCTTCTCCTCTCCCCCACCAATCCGCAAAGCCGGAAACATTGGAGAACTCTGGCTTAGAATGAGCTAAAGCTTGCAATGAATAGCAAAAATAACTCCTAAGTAGGATCCTACTGCACAAGAGGGGAAGAGTTGAGGAAATGTTTGGTCCACTGGTTAGAAAAGTTGAAAGGATATTGATGGGACAGCATGGTGAAGGTTGGAGACAAACATTGTTACAATCCTTAAAAGGGGAGGAAATTAGATCTAGGAAACTACAGAACAATCAACTTACATTAATACTTGGTAAAATTAGAAAAGATAATCAAACAATGGGTTTTCAAGCACACAGAAAGAACAAGGTGATTACTAGAAGCTACCATGCACTTGTTAAAAACTATTCATATTATTGCTAGCACGATCATATAATCCATAGTACATGAAGGTAGGACATAATCCATTGGGTGCAAACTTTATAAAATTTTACAGAGTAAGATCCAAACCCCAAATAAGAGGGGACCAAGAGAGCCACTACTTCCTGGAGTTGAAGTGCTCCATCATTGGCTATCTGTTTGGATGGCCTAAACTAGATAGGGAGTTGAATTAGAGGACCACCGAAGTCCCTTTCAACCTTATGATCCTAATGACTTCCTAATGATCATTCGAATAGTCTGACTATTGCTCTTCCGCTTTCCTACTAAAAACAGTTAATGTATCTAGTATAGCTGTGTATGATATATCCCACAACTGAATAAGCCTATAATTATTAAATAATAGCACAAAGGTGATAAATGTCATAGAAAAAATAATACAGATACAGATATATTTCATACTTCAGTTACTTCTACTTACAGGATAAAAATGACAAATCTCTCAACTCTTTAAAATGCCTACATAATTTTTCTTAATTATTTTATTCAATCAACAGACACTCATTATTAGTATGTGATTCTAAACTAGCTTAAACATTTTAATATTTATTAATTCACTGTCATTTCAAAGACAGTTGCTCCATTGTTCATAATCCAGAGCTTTGTGCAGAATCTGTGCAATTTAAATAGCTAAGGCTTAACTCGAAATGATTTTGGTTCATTTAAAATCATTAGTGTGTTTCTTCAACCAAAACACAAAATAGAGCATCCTAAGGCATTTATGTAGTCATGCTGAAACAACAGTTAATTATGTTCTGATTTCAAGTGCTGGTAAGGACTGTTGAACTGCCATTCAAAATTCATATTCAGGATTGAGGCTACAGAGGTTAGTACTTAAACCAATTTATTTTAGGCTATACAAGTATTTTAACAGACTTCGTTTTTTAAAGATATTGTATCCCTGAGGTTACTTTACATGAGTACATGTGCTCAGAACACCAAAACCCACCACTATAACTACTATAATATGTAAAGTAATACATCTGCCTATCCCAGGTTCTTGGAAAGGGCTTGATAGGTGAACAAGAAAGCCAAATCCATTCAGAACACCTGGCTGACTGCAATGAACAACAATATTTTTAGCTGAAACTACCTCATTCAAATTATATGGAACTGATTCACAATATATTTAAATGCAATAGATTGAAAATCAAAACGTTATCTCTGCAATGATACCTCTGCTACTGCCATTAGGCAGAGTGAGAAAGTCATCATTATGCTTGATTTTGCTTTGGAATGTCAGAAAAGGAGCAGTAAATTAGCTATTTTCTAATAGAAATTTCTGCTTCAGGAACTAAATTATTAGTTTTGGGCATTATGTTCTTATACTTGGGGGCAGGAGGTGAGGTTTTCCAAGTTTTTGCAACTCTGATGGTGAATCAGAGATTATCCTTTTGTTCTATCGTTTAAACATTGATCATACTTTAGTGAAAAGACTTATACAAGAAGATGACTAAGGACAGCTACTCCTGAATGGCCACAATGTGAGGACTACTTGAAAATTACATGGTGATCATTCAAATAATAATGAGTCATACATAGAGTCATAGAAACCAGTCCCTGCTATGTTTTAGTAATAAGATGTAAAAAGAATGTTTGTCAGGTGTGCATGAATGAGTCACTAAGTAGAAAACCATTAAAAGATCCTATACATGGCAATCATATCACACAATTTTTTTTTGTACATTTTAGTACTGTAAACAAATAATGTATTGGACACAGCTAACCTTATTCATGATATTTACTGAGATCATTAGGCTATACCTTATCGTGCAATCAATCTATCCATTAAACTCAATACATTTGGAGGGTATCCAAGTGGAGGGAATTTAGTATAATTTATCTGACAGGATACAATATATCAGTTAANAAATAATTTTTAAAAATAAAAAATAGAAGTGGTGTTTTGAAGTTATCCATCATTAACCAGCATCTGGACATAAGAATAAACAGGTAAACAGATCATACATGAGATACATTTAAATTACACATATCAGGTTTATATTAAATTCAGGTAATATCTAATTCTATCTATATCTAATTAATTAGCTAAACAAGAAGTTTCAATTTATTCAAGCTATTTTTATGCATTTTTAGTATGCATCTAGAAGAAATCTCCTTATGTACTTATGCAAAACTTACTAGTGGACCACTTACTGATGGACAAATGATCTGTAAACAAATCATTAAGAAGAGATTAAATAACTACCTAGTTAAGAAACTTAGATTTAAATGCACATGATTTAACATGAAGAACAATATTGTTTCATATAAGACATGGCTTAGAGAAATAATTAATAGCTACAACACATATCTTGAAAGGAAACAATAACAATGTTCACAAGGCCATGCATACTAAGAAGCATTTCAATAAAAACTTCTAAATATAGAGATATAATACACCACAACATCTACAAAAGTGTGACATACACTGCTTTTAAGATTCTTGGGTCTATTCAATAAGCATTAGTGGGAGTTATCTGCCTGTATTGTCTTTAGAAAAAAACTCAAAAACAAAACAAAAAATATTTTTCAAATAGAGAAATTTTGGAAAATGAAGAAAGTATTTTATTGGGAATGTCATCCTTCATCCTTTTAAAGAAGATATTTTGCTCATCCAATAGAATTTGTAAATAATTTTATACAAAAATTTATATAGTTCAATAAAAGGCATTAGCCATGATATAAATTGACTAAACATTGAAAGGGAAGAAGAATGTTTCATAAGTGAAAGAACAAAAAGCAGTACCTGATAAAAGTTTGGCCAAAAGGTGCTGACAGCCAATTCCACCCTATTCCAAATACCAATAGGGGCATCGGAGACATTCCATACTGGATTTCCAAGTTCACCATTATTAACTTTCACATAAACATTCAAAATTCCAGGACTGGAACCACTTTTGCTGGAAACAAAAAAATTGAAATCGATGCAATGTGTGTCATTTTCCTTTAGTTGTGGTAGCAAAAGGTGGGCCTTTTGGCCAACTCTTTCAGTAGTATTCACCAACATGAAAGATCCTGCAGAAAATAAATAAAAGAAAATAAGTAATTAGTTGGAGTTTAGATCGTGTCCCAGTCTCAATTTCTTCTTCTTTTGCTGCCTTGCAATTTTTGTTATTCTACAGAGAAATGTGCAAAATGGTTTGGATTTGAATCATTTTAAGAATGGTTATTCCAGAATGATCAGAAGAATATAGTTCAAACTTGAAACAATTGATTCAGATTTAAAATATCGAAAATGTTTTCTGTAACCTTACTATCATACAATTATAATATACTATAATTATATATTGCAGATTGATATTGTGTTAGATTCTGTAATAATTTCAAAACAGTGGTACAATAAAGTTTATTTGGGAAATAAGCAAATAAGTTATTTTCTTAAATCACCAAACTAGAAGTAAGCTTTTCCTAGTTTTGAGATTTCACTCATAGCTGGGAAAGTTAGATATTTCCCTTGATTTCCTATATCTGTTCATTAGAAGGAATAAAACAATATTTTCTTTTTTAAAAGTTGTAGAATCTTTAAAGAACAAAACAATTTACTCTTGTTATCACTATGTGGATCAATTAAATCCATATAAGACAGTATTATAATATACTATATATATATATTGGCAGCTCTGATGGAAGTGAATCCCATGTAGTCATTAAAGATGACATCATGTGATCGACAAATGTTAGAAATTGAGAATGAAAGTTACAAATGGTGATCATATGACTACAGGATCCTGCTTCTCTTGTGCTTTGTGAACTGGTTGCCAAATTCAAATCACAGTCAGTGACTATGGGGATGTACCATCTGTGAGTCTCTTCGTTCAGACCAGTGGTGAAATGCTACTGGTTTGCTTCCTTGCTAGTTTGCTGCACATGCACATGCACACTGCAGGTGCTACCGCGCAGTGCTGAAAAAGGAGGATTAAGAAGCCTTTTCTGAGTCTGCAAAGGTAAGTAGAACAGCGAGGGAGGGAACAACTGTGTCATACAATTTAGATTCGCTAGAAAGTAGGATTTCCTGCTTTCTAACGAATATATTGTGGCACAGGTAATTGTCACACAGCTGATTGTTGGAACTAGCAATTCTGGTTGCACAGGGGTTAGAATGCAGTATTGCAGGCTAACTCTGACCATAGCCCGGAGTTTGATCCTAATGGAGCTTGAGGTTGGATCAGCCTTCCATCTTTCTAAGATCAGTAAAATGAGGAGCCGACTGTTGGGGGCAATATGCTGACATTGTAAACCGCCCAGAGTATTGTAAAGCAATATGAGGCAGTATATAAGTCTAAGTGCTATTACTGTTGTGATTTTGGAATACTAATACTGTTTATGACATAGCTACATTAAAACCTTTGGGATGTCATGTTGCTGCTGTTATCATACAGGAAAGGAAAACCTAAAAGTGCAGAGATGGAATTACAGTAGGAAGATAAAATGTACGAAGCATGAACTCAGGAATGCT